CAGTACTCAGCGCTCTGCAACTAGCCATGGCGTTTAAGGTTTGTCGCCTCGAATTGCCCTTTTTCTGTTGATGCTTTTCGCTCGGTTTGGCAGCTTTTCCAATGTTTGTTTTGAAAGCGTGTGCGTCTTTTGTTTTTGTTTTTTTCCTTGCTCGGTTACGGGGTATTTCTCGTCTTCTTGGTCTCAGTAACGAATGCATTAACGAGTTAGGGTCCAAATCATGTTATTTGTTATATGACGGTAATTTGTCACTCTTTCAGCTCTTCATCATCGCCGCCCTTGTGGTCATGACTGCCGGCCGCCCAGAATTCGACAGCCCATCCTACCCCGCCCACGCCCACGCAGCCCCAGAGGTCAGTAAGCCTATAAAGCCCATTATTAGTGCCTTTAAGTCAATATAATAACATAGTGTCCCTACCGTAAGTACTATTAAGCGACTGTTTGTAAAAGGATAATCTTGATATCAAGGGTCATTGCCATCAACGTTAAAGTGAATCGATCTTTTAATATAGGCTTATCTAATTAATCATTCACTTATCTATCTGTTTTATCAAAACGTAGATGAATTTAGATGCTACCAGCCTATCCAATATAGAGATATGAGAAAACCATATTTCTAAATACAACTCTACTATTGCATTACACTTCTAATACTAATATTAGCCTAACGTTTTCGATAAAGGAACGTAGGCCTATACGAAACAAACAGATTCATTCACCACGTAATATAAAATGAGATGAGGTTATTATTAATGGCATGAGATGTCTTCTTAATATTGATGATGATGAATGTTCTGCAGTGAAGGAAAGCCATTAATCATAATTACGGTTAAAGTTATGGTTATGCTAAGTAAAATCTGGAGTTTTATGCGGACACGAATGTTGTTTATATTATCAAGGCTTGATATATGACAGTGATAATAGTGATAATGGTAATTGTAATAGCAACGATGCTACTATTAATAATGAGAATGATGTTGATAATGGTAATGGTGAAATTGATAATAGTGCTACTGATGATAGTGATAATAATGATAACAATGGTAATATGATATTACTAATAATACTAATGAGAGTCTTGATGATGATAATATTGATAGAGCAGTAGTAGAAATAGTAGTAGTAATACAATAAGAAAATGATATAATGGTAATAAAAATAATGATATGATAATGAAGTAATAGTAATAATGATATGATAATGATAATAACGATAATAATGATGATCATACCAATGATAACGCTAAAAAGCAATGATGATGATAATAATAATAGTAATAACAATGATAATAATAATTACAACAATAATAATGATAATGATAATAGTAATGATGGTAACTCAGCAATGACAATGATAATAAGATAATGGTAATGAAAATAATAATGATGATTAAGATAAGATAACAAAATTCCTAATAATGTCACAATAGTAAATGTAATTATAATGATAAACAATGATAATAAAAAAAATAATGACAATAGTAAAGATAATAATAATGATAATAAGAATTATATAACAACAATAATAGAATAATATGATGATCATTATCATAAAACCAACAAAAACAACAACAAAGATTATAATAATGAAAATGTTTAATAGTGGTAATAATCATAATGATAAAGAAGATTGTGCAAATAACAATGAAAACAATAATGGTTGTAGAGATAATCTAATATTAATGATATCAATAGTCATAGTAATAGCAATGATAATGATGATAGTAATGATAGTATCAGGTGTGATAATGATAATTGTGCTAATAATGATAATAGTAATAATTATGAATAGTAGTGATGATTATAATGATGGTAATAATAATAATAATAATAATAATAATAATAATAATAATAATAATAATAATAATAATAATAATAATAATAATAATAATAATAATAATAATAATAATAATAATAATAATAATAATAATGAGGATTATAATGACGGTAATAATAATAATAATAATAATAAAAAAAATAGTAGTAGTAGCAGCAGCAGCTGCAGTATTGGTGATAATGACAATAGTGATAATGATAATGACAACAATGATCATAATGATGGTGATAAGGATGGTGACAATAATGATTACAATAATAATAATAATATATGAGAGTGTAAAAAATAAAAGGTATAAAGATAGTTATAACGATGTTGATGTCAATATGCTTGGGCTATTAAAAAAAATCGAAAGATTCAATTAATGCCACTAATTATTTCAAGATCTGATTAGACCTACAACTTCGGATTTCATCATGTGAAAAATATATAAACTCTCAAGACCTGATTGGACCGGATTTCATTATATGAAAAAAGAAAAAAATATATAAACTCGAAAATTCTAAACAAGAACCAAACATGTCTTCCCATGTAACACCAACCAAAGACGATTGAGTTCCTTTCACTTCAGGATCCCGTCCGCTACGACTTCAGCTACGGCGTGAACGACGCGTATTCGGGGACGCCCCACGGACACGAAGAATCCCGAGACGGACAGTTCACG